CTTTCACTCTCCATATTTTTATTTCATTTTTCAAGATTTAAGTCTGTAGTGAAAATTACATTAAAAGAGCGTACAATTTCAACTTCGAGAATTACACATAAAAGTTACTATCCTATATTATTAACATATCCACATTTTAAATATTTTATATGGAAGCCCATTTTATTTTTTAAATTTATTTTTCAGTTACAGTTGACATACAATATTATATGAGTTTCAGGTGGAAACATAGTGACTAGACGTTTGCATAACTCATGAAGTGATCACCCCATAAGCCTAGTATTCTGGAAGCCCACTTTAGAATCGAGAAGTAATAAATCTAGAGTCCCCTGTTACAGGGGACAGGGTTATCAGTGCAGGGGGAACTTTGCACAGGCTGCTAGGACCTTCACACGAAATGAAGAACATAACCAATTGCTTGATCTCGTCCACACTGGCAACTTTTGAGGATCAACCCCCAAGTGATTTCCGAGGTGCTCTCCCAAGGATCCTATTTTCTTGGTCCCAAGGCATATATGAAGGGCCTCCTTTTCTAGACTCCATTAAAATACCTAGAAGGTCAGATGTGGTTCACAGCTAACACATTCGCATGCCCATTACTCAGCTAGCCCAGATAGGACAAGGATCTAGCGTGTCATTTCAGAAGCATTTTGTTGGTACTGATTTTGTGGTTTCTATGGGAAAAGCTTGGGAGGCAGTGAGGAGCAAGGCAAACATAGTCCTAGGCCTGTGGCATTTATAGATGAGCCTGAGTGATGTCTGCTAAGCAAGGGCAAACATTTGGGAGCACGTAAGAGAGGACAGCATATTGTGTGGGGGGCAGGGGTGCTTTCCTGGAACACCAATGTTCAAACTGAGAACTAGAGGGTGGTGGACGTCAGGACAGAGGGGACGAGGGGAGGTGGGGGGAGGAATTCCAAGCACGAGGGAGTTCCCTAAAGTGTGAGAAGCTGGCGGTTGAAATGAACAGAAACCCATTATGACTGGAATGAGCAAATTACAGAGAGAGGCGTAGGGGTGAGCCTGGAGAGGATGACGGACAGCTCAAGATAAGCTTCATGGGTCATGTTGAGCACCACTGGTTGATCCTAATGGCAAAAGGGCTTTGAAGGGTTCTAATTAGGTCAGTAGCGGAATAGGTGAAGGGTAGATGGGAACTAGGCAGGAGCGGATGGGGACGCTAGTAGGACAGGGGCAAGACAATGCTGACTGGGGCCAGGAGTCAGGAGTGAACGTTGAAAGAAATGGATTCTGGTTCATTCTATGACCTTTAACACAATTGGAATTAATTTAATAAAGGGTTCACTCAATGAACTCCTCTGCCACGTCCGATTTGGGAAGTTGATTCTGGGCAACCCATAAATCTGTTGCAACTTTCTCATTGCAATGTGAAGGCCACTCGCTGTTCTTCCAATCCCAAATTTTTGAAGAAGACTCTGACATGAAGTTAAGTTAGCCCCTGAAGCAAACGAGATTTTAGCATAAACTCTCAGGTCACTTTTTCTCAGCGATTAGGAGTTCATAAAGAATGGTGCGCAAATTAATGCAAATAATTTCTGAAATTAAAGAATTCTGCAATTCATAAGAATGAGAAGAAAGCAGAAGGAGATTTAAAGTAAATCCTGGAAACCCGAAAACAGATTTCTTACAAGAAACAGAAAACAAATTAGAAAATAGCCGTTAACCATTTTCAGTGAAATAAATGGTGACTCTACAAACATGAAAGACAGTAGACGGGTGAATTCCAAAGCAGAACAAATACACTATTGTTGGAAGTCAACAATAGAAAAAATAAAACTGAAAAAAAAAAATCCCAGAGTCATGAAAATAAAGATCATTTGAAAAACGTGCAAAATATAGAAGAATTTCCAGGAAAAGGTATACAATGTAAAGAGAGATGTAAGTCATGCGGAATAAGACGAAAAGGTCAAATGACGGTGAGTAAGGATTTAGATTAAATGGAAAACATCCGGTAAAGATATAATGAGAGAAATTGTCTTGAACGTAAGAAACTTGGATTTTCCACTACGTAATTTTAAAAGGCATAAAAGCTATAAAGAAATTTGAGAAAATAAATTTCCGAATCGGCTAATAGTCTCCTCTCCTTAACCAAATAGATCTTTGAATTATGGGTAGTGAGTATTTTTTTTTTTTCATTTTGAAGGAGGAATGTGTAGAGGAGAAAAGGTTTCTATACAGTGCACGAACTCTCAGTCAACCACGTGACGCTGCAGTCACCACCAAGAGCGCAATCCTAACACCCGCAGGTTGATGACTGAACTTGACTTTAGATGAATCCTTCTGAATTGGAGTGGGTAGGGTTTCAGTCAAGAGACCCCAAAACAGTTCAAAAGGGAGAACCTGAGGAAGAATAACTGAACAGAAATTCCGTGCTCAGGGGAGGAGAGGTGCCAAGTATTTCATTCATTTACTGCCTTCCATTTTAAGAGATGGAAATTTGACCACAGGTTAGCCCACGCCCAAATGGGACAATGCCCTGCATCGCATTCCCAGAAAGGGAGGGAAGCGTTGGCTGATGGACAACTCAGTTTGGGAACCTTCGGCACCGTCTGGGCCCCATTCATTTTCGTCTTCTCCTTGTCCCTGTCCCTCTCCTCCTCCCTTCCCCTCCCCTCCTTCTCTACCTCCCTCTCTTATTGCAGGTGACTTTTCTTTCTGTTTGCAGCAGGAAGCAAGATTAAGGGCGACGCCAGGCTCACATTCTCTAAACTTAGGAGGAAGAGGGAGGGTTTCTCTCTAGTTCCGGCTGGAGATATGTCTCGGCATTGCTCCCATGGGCCTGACCTAGACACGTGTCCCTATTATTTTTTAAATAACACTTTTATTGAGACATAATTCCGTACCATAAAAGTCACCCTTTTAACGTGTGCGGTTCAGTGGTTTTAGTGTATTCATCATGTTGTACAACGGTCATCACGATATGAATCCAGAACTTTTCATCATCTCCGAAAGAAACCTCATACCCATTCGCAGTCATTCTCTGCTCCCCATCCTTCCGGCTCCTCGCAACCACTCATCTACTTTCCGTGTCTGTAAATTTGCCTCTTCCGGACGTTTCATCTAACTAGAATCATACAACCTGTGTTCTTCTGTGGCTGGCTTATTTCGCTTAGCATCATCGGAGGTCCATGAAGTGTGTGTCAATACTTCATTCCTTCATATTATTGAATAGTATTCCAACGTATAGATGCTCTACGTTTGATTTATCCATTTATTAGTCGATCGACTTTTAGGTTATTTGCCTTTTTAACTATTGTAAATAATGAGCATTCAAGTGCAAGTTTTTGTGTGCACATATATTTTTATATAATCTTTCACCTAACCGAACACATATGAAGACTTCATAGAGAGAAAACTCCAAATTCTGACCTAAACACAGTCTGTTTGCAAGTCCATATACCAAGCTTCCATCATTCTGGTCCACAGTATCTGGGGGTAATTCTGAGTCTAGTGGAAAGTGTTTTAGTTAATTTAAACTTCATGTAAATTGCTTTTCCCCATGTGCTCTTAGACATACATGCTTGATATCATATACAGTTATTTAATATCATATATTGCCTTATTTTATTAAAAATGAATTACATGATACATCAGCGTCCTCCAGCGTCCTTTGCCTTTTTTACAGTGTCTTTCCTTTTTCTCTCTTTCACGTACCGACACGTACTGGTGCCTAAATTAACGTAGATGGTTTTTGGAGATATACTGGGATCTTCCAGATGGAGAAACAGTTATCTACTCGGTAAGTTGAGATCTGTTCTTTTTAATGTTTTTCTCTCGAGACAACTTTCTATGAAACTTTCTGTTAGTGAGTCATTTAAAACCAGAAAAATCTATACACAACCTTCGAACAATTACAGTAATTACATAAAATAAACATTTCCTTTTATTCCTGTTTTTTTTTTTTCTTAACATTAGACGATAGCGATACAATTTCCCATTTAGGTGTCCCTTTATATCTGCACAGAGCTTTTCCACGTATGATTTCATTTGATGGCCCGACGTCTCTGTCAAACAGGCAAGGGAGATGTTGGTTTTGACCTTAAGAGGGTTTCTAAGCTTAAACGCGCTTGCTCCCTCCTGGATGCACAGCCTGAGGTACAGGGTCGAGGTATGCACTACCCTGTAGCTGGCAGTTCTGGATGAAACGTCATCTGACTGTCTGAGACGGAGTTCGGTAATTCTCCAGCCGTGTGGCCAGAGCTCTGTGAGCCTTGGGTGGGGGAGGAGGGCTCTCTTTTCTTTCCTTCTGTCACCTCTTTTGAAGTGGGATTGGTTAATGTTCTGTGTGAGGTTCAAGAGCCATTTTTTTTTGTTCCCAAGGCTTTTTCCTATTGGTGCTGACGATGGCAAAACCCTGGTGACCTCCCACTGCCTCCTTTGCTTACGAGGCATATATGGGGCATCAGTAATAGAATCACAGCACATTCTGGAAGTGGGCGGAGGGGCCTCTCCTTATGACTGACTGTGTTACAGGTCTCGTTCCTGACGTACCCGGAAATGAGCAGTTTTATGAACGATCCCTTGGTAAGTGGTCCTGCTTTCTTCAGGACAGAAACAGGCTCTGCTTCATGAAGCCATTTCTTAGGAGATAAATCCCTGAAATACAAACTATTTTAAGTGAAAACAGAAAGATAGTACAATACTGCATAAACCCGCTTTGCAAATTATTTAAAAAGGTAATCTTGAGGTGTTAAAATGCACTTAAGAGTTGCCAGGAATCAAAGGGTCACCTCCGGCTCTGGACGTCGGCACTGACCTCTTCCCCTGCTCCGCTTGGGTGTTTTCTGCGTAGCCCACACCCTTTCGATCTCTTCTTTGCCCTCCATCCTCTACCGGACTTTGTGGTGAGCAGAGGAATTGAACAGTAAATTAGCTTCTCCCTTTCACAGATCAGTTTCCTCATTTAATCTTTGTGATAGCTCTGTCAACCAGATGTGTCACCTGCTCATAGAGAAGAAATGACTACTAACGCGTGGCGTTAATTGTATAGACAAAATGCTCACTCTGCGCTACCTGCTTGACTCGGTTTCTCCTTCAGCCTTCGCCATCATCCTATGAGGCGGCACCAGCTTCCTCCCCATCCCGCAGAAGAGCAAACTGAGGCTCCGTGGGGTTCTGTAACTTGTCAGAGGCCACATGGCCAGCATAGGACTTTGATCCAGTTAGTGAGTGGCAGAGATAGGACTTTGATATAGATCTGTCAGACACTAAAGCCTCGGTTTTTTCCATGCTGCTTTCCAGAAGAATTGTGAAATTCACCTTATGTTCAGAGATCTCTAGTACCATGAATAACACAGATTAAAATGCCATCGAGTTCAGTGTCTGGTCCTCATTAGAGATCCTCCAGTTCATTTGAAGTGCTAGGGCTTACGATCTGAGGCTTGATTAAAAAGTAATGCCCAAGTTTTCAACCTTTTCTAAATTGTCACTTGGGAGAATATACAGTTATTCCAACAATGTGAACACTGTTGAACATTTTTTGAACATTTCTTTTGGAGTTGCCTCCAGAATCTATAGCCCATTCTTTTGAATCTCTGTAGTGTTGGAAAATATTTGCCATTAAATTTGATTTTGGAAATACCTAAAAGATTTAGAAAGAGATCTGATTAATCAAATCGATAAGTAACTTGGGTACATTAGTTATTTGTCGCTGTGTCAAATTACCCCAGCTTAAATCAACAAAAGTTTATTATCTCACAGTTTTTGAGAGTTAGGAACCCAGAAGCGGCTTCGCTGGGTGTTTCTGGCTCAGGGTCTCTAATAAGGTTTGCGACAAGATGTTGACCGAGGCCGTGATCTCAATCGAAGGCCTGCCTGGCCCGGAAGAATTCACTTCCGAGGTTACACGGTTGTTGGCAGGTGTCAGTTCTTCATGGGCTGTTGGACTGAGGACTTCCATTTCTCATCATATGGGCCATCCCACAGGGCTGTCTGAATGTCCTTGAAAGGTGACAGCTGGCTTTCCACAGATAAAATTACCACACACACACACACACACACACACACACACACAGAGTAAGCACAGAGCACCCAAGACAAAAGGCATAGTCTTTTATTACCAATTTTGGAAGTGATATTCCATCGCTTCCGCATTATTTTATTAATCACACAGACCAACTCTGGTTCAGTGTGGGAGGGAAATACCCAAGAGTGTGAATATTTGGAGGCCATCTTGGAGGCTGGCTACCACATTGGAAAAATACCACATGAAATAATGTGACTGATCCTTTTTGTATGTCTCAGGAGCTAATTCCAGAGCCAAATTCTAAATAAACATTTTTTGGCCTCGAAAGCATCACTGATGCAGATGTGCACCTATCTCAGAGACTGCTTTGAACATGACATCTTAATTCAATTTAACAAATCTGTGTGACAAGCACTGGGAAGACCCACAGAGGACTGAAAGATACATGCGACTGTCCCCGTGCTTGAGGGCTTGCAGTAGTGGCCGAGACGGATCGCACGTGGTAACAGAGGAGAGAGAAATAAGCGTTGGGTGTGGCTGTAACACACGCAGGGGAGAGTGTGGCAGAGCTTGACACAGAGACGAAGTTGCCACGTCCTCGGGAGTTCTTGCGGCTGTACACGTTCTGGTTGTGCCTGTCACAATCCTTCACATTGATTTGTAGCCATGTGGTCCATTTCGTCTTAGATCTTGACATGATTGACAGAACCTACACGTCCGTTTCTATTTTTAGAGATCATGAGAAGGGTCTTTCCTCCCGGAAACAGAAGGCACTCAAACCAGTGGCACAGAGCGAGAATAAACACGGGCTTTGAGTAACGGCCTCGAGGTAAGGGGACACGGGACAAAAACATGTGTATTTACGTGGAGTGACCGCCTTCAGACTGCTGCCCCACACCTCCGAACGTCCGTGCCTCTCCACCCCCACGGCTCTCTCCTCCCGGATCCTGCTTCCCAGCTGTCTCTTCGCTCTCGCGCCCTCAATCTTCTTCCCGTGGCCTTTGTATTTGTTGCCATCGACATGGTCAAGGCTCCCTGCTTCAGGAGCAAACAGATGACAGATAACAAACGGAACGGCCCTCCCCTCGGGGCCGCCTCCCCTCCCAGCAGCTGCCCCTGCCACCCGACCTCTGCTCAGCCTCTGAGGCCGCTGTGGTCTAGGCTCCTGATACACCTCCTCACCCACTTTCCCTTTTCTGTCTTTGTGCAAACTGGGTTTGAATCCTTCAGGTCTGTGACATCTGATCTGCCTTCCTTTTCTTAATCAATAATTTAAATCCTGGTGACCGTTTATGTCATCTCTTAGCCGCATTCTTTCCTTCCTCTGTAGAGAACTCTGTCATCTCTTCCATTTGCCTGGCTTCGTCACTGACGTGAAATTATTTCCAAACATACATCTCTTGCCATGCTCCACCTGGGATCCAGGCCCTGATGTCAGCTGCCCACTAGGCGCAGTTGCTGTGGCCACCCCTGGGAGCGACCACAACGCCACCAACCTCCTCTCCAGCTCTTTCTTATTTGAAGGTATCACCCTTCGCCGACTTTTCACACACTCAAAATGCTGGAGCATCACTGATTCTCCTTTCCACCCATCTCCTTCCGACGTCGCCAGGTGTTCGGTCTCCCTGGTTTGGCCCACGCTTTTCCTCTGGCAATGGCCCAACGCTCCATGACCATCGCCGCGAGCTGTCGCTTGACCTCTTGCCTCTGGTCTTGGTCTCACACCATCCACCTCGCACGCTGTCCTCAGGTGTATCTGGAAATCCAGAGGAGACTCTGGTCCTTCTTCACTTAAAGCCCCGCATGCTCGCTTCACTTCTGGGGTAGAGCTGGGCTGTACCAAAGGCAGACCTTGAGCCAAGAGGAAGAGCAACGTCTCGGCCCCAGGGCTGTGGGGAGGTGGAGACTCAGCCCTGGTTTTCCAGACCCCCACTGAGCGTCACTGAGTCTCTCACGGGTATAGAAATTCTTAGTTATTAGGGATTGGAGCAAACGTAGCAATGTAGTTTTGAAGGCTCCTAAGTGGTAAAGGGACATCAGAAAGGACACACTTAAAAAGAATCTTCGGAGGTATCACTTCAGCACACGTTCCTTTCTCACACACACACACACACACACACACACACACACACACACACGCACGTTAATGAGAGAGCTTGAGCTTTCGTGGGTTTTGCAGCTGCCATAGCACCGTATGTTTAAGGAAAAAGTCTGGACTCCCTAGCGTGGCCCACGAAAACCTTGGTGACCTGGCCCTGCCCGGGTCCCTCGCTTCCTTCTCGCAGGTCTGCTGTTTTACTGGCTAATTCCTCCTCCCCGTCCAGGTCTCACTCAGCTCAGTGGCGCCTCCCAAGTCGGAAGTGCGTCCCTTTGCGGGCCTCCCTAAGTCCTCATCACAGGGCGCTACCCTCACCGGCCTCCTCTCTGCCCCACCTGCCCCCCACCAGACGCCCTGGACTCGGGGCTCGGGGACCTTCCCACACCATCGGCTCCCAGTTCCCTGCACAGAGTCTGGCACACAGCAAGCACGCAGGAAGTTGGTTTTTTTTTTGTTTTTTTTGTTTTTTGAGTGAATGATAAAATCCTTCACTTTGGATTTTTGAGATCTTTGTATCCACCCCTCCCCCAAACCAGCTAAACATAGTGTAATTAATTTTTAACTGCTGGAATTTAAAAGAAATCAACTGACTTTTTTACTAAAATAGAAGGAAAATTTGTCAGTGAGGTCATACTGGATGAAAGATGCAAATGGTAGGCTTTCTTTTGAATCTATGTGCACCCTAAAAATAAAAACCAACTTTGTACCGAGATCAAGAAACGACTCATTATGAAAACACGGACTCATCATATTCCTTTTTCATAAACTTAAATTATTTCATTTTTTTTGGTTTACAGAGCATCCTTAAGGGTAAAAAACAGACTTCTCAATGGATTGGATGTATTTCGTTTGTGAATTGTAAGCCTATATGGGGCATGAACACATATATGTATCACAATATGTATTTGTGGTCTGATGTCTATAAAAACTGATCACATCAAAAATGTCTCTCTAAAGGCAGCCTAGACCGAAGGGCCTAGGGCTGACGGCCCATCGCTGCTCCTATGGGAGATACAGGGGGAGGTTCCCGGCGGCCTCTGGTCACAATTTACACGAGTTTCTGTTTAAAGACACCTCATTTAATATATGTAGTTGATTTATTAATGTCGAAAGCGCTGCCGCCAGCACGTAGCTCAGGCCTGAACGAAGCTCGTCTCCACGCATTTTCTCCACGGGGCGCCTCGCGGCCTTTTGTACCTGAAACCCTGGGGACCATTTTAAACAGCAAAACCGCCAACGAAGGGGACAAAAGTACAAAAACGGGGGCACTAAGCGGACTGCAAGAAGGACACCGGTGTGCAGAATGTCGTCACTCTGCCCCACTTCAGCCGGGACACGCGCGTTGGAAGACGCAGCATTTTCTTCTCTCTGAGCTCGTCCCGGAATGAATGTGGAAGCGCCGGGGGTACCGATTCGGGGTTACGGAGAACTGTTAGTGGTTTGGCGACTTTCTGAGAATACCGAGGATCTCCGCACAGCGGGTCCCGACCCCCGGTTTATCCCGAGCTCCTCCCCAATCTCTCTCGTGTCCTGCTCATCGGGACTGTAAAGAAAAGCCGTCTGCACTTGCCGCCTCCAGTCCCTGTCAGCCCTGGCCGTCCCCGCTCTGCATCCGCTCCTGTGCCGCCTCGTGGGCACTGTCTCCCCTCTTCCCGCCAAGACTCACGGCCGCATGCGACGCCGACGTCAGCTCCCTTCTTTCCTGGAAGCCTCTGGCCTCCGAGGCTTTGCGTCCCCAGCCAAGACGTCCCTCTGCCCCTCACGGCCTCTCCTCTCCTCCCGCTCCCTGACAGCGATGTGCCCCCAGCTCCGGCCGCGTCTCTCGCTCCACTCACCGTCCCCCGTCTCCAGGTGACCCCCGGCACCCCCGGGGCTTTGATGCCCGCCTGTCTGGGGGTGGCACCGACCTCTACTTTCACTGGCTTCTAGGCTAGAGCTTGATTAGGGGCGGGGTGCCAGATACCGCCATCGGCTCTTCTGCCGCATGCTCCAAGGACAATTCTTCCCTTCCCGACCTATTCCAACTCACCTTCCCGGGTACCCAGACCCCAAACAAAGCCATCCCGGCCCTCGTCCCCGGCCTCAGCCGACCAGCCGCCGAGTTCTGCTCGTCCTTCCTCTGGGATGTTTCCAGCTCCGCGCCCTCCTCTTCATGGCCCGGCCTCCTCATCCTCTCTAGCCTGCTGATGTCGGCATCTTCCCGACAGTCTCATCTTGGCCCCCTCGAAGTCACCTCTGCCCTGTCACCAGAGCACGTTAACACCAGTCCTCACAGGTCAAGGCCCTGCCCACCCGGAGGGAGGAGTCTAGACTCCCCAGCGATGTGAGACAGTTAGAGCGGGGCCCTCCTCCCGCGGGCGTGGTCCCTGTCTGTGTCCCCTGCTCTCTCTCCTCTGCTTCACGTGGGGGAGTCACGTGGCTGACTAATCCTCCGGTCCCCCGGTCTGGGGCTGACCCACATTGCCAGGTCCCCGCCCCCAGCCCACCTGCAGAGTCTAGCTGACCCGTCTTCTCCGTGCACCCTCCTCCATGGGGCTCCGTGCACCCTCCTCCATGGGGCTCCGTGCACCCTCCTCCGTGGGGCTCCGTGCACATGGGCCTCCCTGGAGTAGCATTTGCTATACTGTACTCGACTGTCTTCCCACTGGTTTGTGATTCCCTCCTTCAACCCCTCCCTCCCTCCCTCCCTCCCTTCCTTCCTTCCTCCCTTCCTTCCCTCCTTCTTCCCTTCCCTTCGAAGATCAGGGCTGTGTCTTACTGATCTTTGTAACCCCCCAATAGACACTCAATGCAGACATGTTTATTGAGCGGATGGATGGATGAAAGCACGACTATCCCTACCTCCAGCTGCCCGCCCTCGGATGACCACAGCTGAGGCCATCTGACTCTTTTACTGGCTTGACCGGTCCCTTCCTCTCGCCCTCCCACCAGCTGGCTCAGGTCGGCTTGAGTCCCAGCGCCTGGCCGTAGCCTTTCTTCAGGGCCTCTCGGGCCCTTCCCTTTCTGAGACTGATCTTCCTTTCTGGGGCCACGTCTCTGTGTCCTGGACCCAGATCACCGCCTCTCCTCCCCATGGATGTCTCTCGCCCCCTTTTTATTTGTTGTTCAAGGAGCCGGCCGCGTTGCCTAGTCGCTCTGGTGTCTGGTGCCATCTTGGATTCCTCGTTGAACGGCGCCCAGGAATCTGGGTCCTGCGGCTCTACCGCAGAAATGTGAATCGCGCACCGCAAGGTCTAACCTCTTCTCTTTCTCTCTCTTAACAGCAAAATGCGATGGAAGGAACAGAAGTTCCAGTGAAGAAAGAGTCATAATTTTCCCTTTGATCCGTTCCAGTCCTTAATAAATGTCTTACTTTTCCTCTTTCATTGCCTGATTTTTTTAAAAAAATAGGAATCACTATCAAATTTTAAATAAGAAGCTAATATCATGAGATTAGCATTAGCTAAGAATTTTAGGAGTTAAGACTCACAAAGCGGCCATGTTTAGCACAATCATGTCAAATGGATGTTTTAGATCGATAGTCATTGATCGGAAAATCTTTTTTCCTTAAAAAAGAAATCAGTCCCAGGTGGCTCAGTGTCAAAGAGTGTCTTTCCTTTTGTGACTAATTTTAATTTTTAAAAGAAATTGTCTGGTGAGTAAGAGATGAGAAGCCAGCCTCTCCCCACCCACCAAAATGCTGTCCTAGCTTGTTTAGCTTTGGATGTCTCAGTGTAGGAAATCAATAGCCAAAGCTGGCTTTTTGTCAAAGCAGACATCACCAGGAAAGTACCCAAGAAGTGAGGTCTGTGTCCCCAAGCCACATGCTTAGAACTTTGCTCCAATCTGGTGCCATACCTGGAGCCAGGACTTTAAGTGGCCAGCCCGCTGCAATTGGAAGATGTGAGAATCACCACATTGGAAGGCGGTCAGTCCCTCAGCAGCGAGGCTGAAGCCTACATCACTTTCTACGGCTTTCCACAAAGACATCGGGAGTCCTTGAGAACGCCTTTCTGGATGGATGATACAGTAAGACGTTATAGGTCATTTGCACCTTGATTTAGATGTGGCTATTTATTCCTGCTCTACTTATGACAGCTTTTAAATGTCTGACACGGCTAGTGACCTCACTCTCCATTGTCCATAAGTTTTAGAACTTTCCCGGATAGTCCCCAAAATGCTTATTTTATTTTGACTTTAAGATCAATTTGTCAAGTTACGAAAAAAAATTATGTTGGTATTTTAAATCAAATTAGCTATTTAAAATTTGTAGATTTATTTAGAAAACATCTTTAGACTTTTGAGTTTTGCTCTATAGGATATGACTTTGGGTGGCGAACATACAAAGCAATATACAGATGATGTATTGTAGAATCGTACACTAGAAAGCTATATAATTTTATTAACCAATGGCACCCCAATCAATTTAATAAAAATAAAAAAAATAAGATATACATTTCCATTTACTGAAGACTTCTTTTATGTCCCTTAACAGAGTTTAAGAGGTGTGTGTGTGTGTGTGTAGATTTATTTAGAAAACATCTTTAGACTTTTGAGTTTTGCTCTATAGGATATGACTTTGGGTGGCGAACATACAAAGCAATATACAGATGATGTATTGTAGAATCGTACACTAGAAAGCTATATAATTTTATTAACCAATGGCACCCCAATCAATTTAATAAAATAAAATAAAAATAAGATAGACATTTCTATTTACTGAAGACTTCTTTTATGTCCCTTAACAGCGTTTAAGAGGTGTATGTGTGTGTGCGTGTGTGTGTGTGTGTGTGTTTGGCATAGTTCTTTTAAAATTTATTTACTAGTATATACTGGTATATTATTTTTGTTGTCATAAATGAGATCCTTTTTGAGTTAAGAGGTGTGTGTGTGTGTGTGTGTGTGTGTGTGTGTGTGTTTGGCATAGTTCTTTTAAAATTTATTTACTAGTATATACTGGTATATTATTTTTGTTGTCATAAATGAGATCCTTTGTTATTATGTCTTATAATATAAAGCTAATATATATAAGGTTTTTGGCCTGTCTTCCTACTAAATTCTCATATTGTTTTTAATAGGTTTTCAGTTGATATTCTAGCATATTCCATGGATATGTATAACTTTTGCAAATAATATTAATTTTGCCTTCTCCTCTTCAGTTTTTGAATGTCACATCTTTCTTTTTCCTATTTTTTTAAAATATATTCCAGCGAGGGTAGATAATAGTACAATGATATGTCTCCCTGTCTCGTTCCTTATTTAACATTCTAAGAAGCATTTTCATGTTTCACCATCAAGTACAATGCTGGCTTCCGGTTTGGCGTAAGGGACGTTTATATTTTCAGTCCCTTTAAGATTGTATCTCTCCTTTCCCTGTTACGAGTTTATAACATAAATATATACGGAGCTTTATCAAACATCTTTTGCAATTTGCTTTATCAAACATCTTTTGCAATTTGTCTGTTTTGAATTTCAGTTTTGGAATTTGGAATTTGTCTTTCTTCTTCGACAACAAAATATGGTGAATTATGTTACAATGTTGCTTATACTGAATCATTTTTGCTTTCTTGAAACAACCCCCCTGGGTTACGGTTTACTATTCTTTAAATATGCTGCTGAGTCTAGTGGTCGCTGTTTCATTTAGGATGTTTATACCAACATTCATAAGTGAGAGTGACCTGTAGTTTATTTTTGTGCTGTCTTCATCTGGTTTTGGTATCAATGGTGTGACACCCAACATATGTTTACAATCTCTACATAGCATCTCTCCCTGCCCTCCAATTTCCAATCCCCTGGTTTAATAAAGGAGCATCCACAGAAGGCAAGTGTGATTTCTTCTGTGGTCAGAATAGGATATCGACCACATGTAAAGTAAATGATATATTTCTGTCATGTGCCAGTCTCTGAGTTCGCTAGCCTTTCCCAAGCCTTTTTGCCAGCACGTTTCTTCCTCCTTCTTCGGGAGAGAGAGAATAGCGATAAACTATGTCCAATCCCTGTTTAGCAATAGTCATTGGTCCTAGAGCAGGAGTCGGCTGGGTCATGTATCTGGCCAAGGAACTGTCTGGTTTGGTCTGTAACTGTGTACAGCTGGGCGTTTGTACGTCAGCAGAAAGACAAACTCTCTTAGTGGGGACATGGGCTCGTCGGATGTGGGCAGCAACAGAGGCCTCACAAAAGATGCAAACTGAGGGTACAGTTCCCACACACCCCGTATGCTCAGCGGGGTTTGTTCTAAGAACAGACGTGATCTGATTCCTCCAGGCAAGAATTCAAGTGAATAATTTTCTGTTCCAAAAGAGACTTTGTGGCTTTCCTTTGGACAATGCATACCTGTCTTCCCAACTGCCACCTCTTTAGAAATCACCCAAGACAAACATCTGCAACCTCTCCATAAAAATGTCACCATGCCACTTGGAGGCATGCAACCCAACAATTCTGGCCTCTCTCCAGAGGCAGGTGTGACTGGAGCCAAGCTGTAGGGAGTGACTTTTTATGAGAGAATCAGCAGCAACTTGTCAAGCACAGCGATGCAGCATTTCTGGGTGCCCCGGGGACGAGCACATATCTCCGCGCATTTACCTTCCCTGTCCCTTCGCAACTTGGATTAAAAATTGCCCAGAGTTCAAATATTTAATGTTCTTCCTTATTTCCCATTCCTGGCGTGTCTCGGGGTAGTGTGGCTTCTTGCCGACCTGTCCCATGCCTCCCTCACCCAGGGTCACGTGTGAGGAGGGCTGTGCTTGCTGTCAGGTCCTGCTTCAGCCTGAGAATCCACCGGCGTCCTCTGCGCATTCGGGCAGCTCTCTAGAACAGTCCGCTTTGTGTTATTTTCCTTTCTGGAATGCAGCACGAGATCGTGAGATCGATTTCATACATATTTCATGATATGTGGTCTGATTTGTTCAGTGACGATGGGGTTTTAGTGGCTCGGAGAAGTGGGCTAAGAATCCTTCTACAGAGTGTTCTGCTCTGCAGATGCCAAGCCACGGTCTTGTGAAGCGAAGCCGAGATCCATCAGCTCTGCGTTCCTGGAACGCGGGCTTCCTCCCTGCTCCGCTTTCTTCCTGTCTTCCTCCGTGGTCCGCCACGCGGTCAGCCTTCAGCAATCCAAGGAAGGCAACACTGAGGATTTGCCATCTTGGTCAAGTGTCTTATGTGAAGAGCCCTGTTTTATGTGAGCAGTGGATTTGAGGGGTGTGCAGGGTCCACGGTGGGTGAGTGTGAGCGGGCTGAGCAGGAGACCAAAGGGACTGTAGAGGTAGCAGGCAGCGGTGGGGGCTGGACGGGTGGGTTCAGGGGCTAGAGACCCAGGGGCCTAGAACACGGTGGCAGCTGGAGCCCCCTGGGCTTCCTGGAGGCGGTTGGCTACACTGGCCCAGAGTGATAGTCCAACACCTTTGCTGTACTTTACAGTTTCCCTAGCTGTGCCCATGGGCAAGGGGCCTACAAATTATGTTGCATGGTCACGAGCCCAGCCACTGTCGCCGTGGTAGCAGCTGGGGTTACTGGTCTATGCAGCACATGGAGTCTCTAACTGGGCTCAGGCGGCGAGCTGCGGGGGCTACCAGAATCATATGCACACAGGTCAGCAATGGTGGTCAAGAGGCATTAGACACATCGGAGAGGTTATGACTTCAACCCCTCCTGGGAACTTTGAGAGACAGAGTCACAGATTTAACGTGAGACGACCTCCACTCTCACCCCACCTTCCCTGGCCAGAGCCGTCTCAGCCGAAGACCAGCAGGATGGTTCTGCCTCATCCCTGGACTCTCGTGGCTGCTCGTCCCGAATCCACCCACGCACCGGCTCACCCTGGGAAGGGGTGGGCTCCCCAGTGTGGGAACCGGTCCTTCCGGAGACGCCGGTTGGCAGAGGCAGAGAAGCTCTCCACACCTGCTCGCTCTGGTGGGTTTCCCACCCCTGCTAGTTGACGTGGAACAGCAAGAGGTCGATGAGAAGCCGCAGGTCCTAGACCCTCAGATTTCTCGAACCCGCCCGCCTCAGTCTGCGTGTTTACGCCCCCTCCCCCCAGCTGTCACCCTTCCCCCCTTCGACTCCACCGTCATCCTCTCTCTTCACATCGCGAGGTCTTCTGCACCAGCCCTGGGCGGGGCCTGTTTTGTCTCGTGCCCAGCTCAGTCTGTCCCTGTCCCTCCTGCATTCTTGTGCCCTTGGGAGGCGGGAGGCGGGAGGCGGGAGGTGGTGTGGCGTTCGTCTTAACATCCGTGTCGGCTCCCATGCCCCCTTGCCTTGGTAGGAGGTGGCTTTGACCATCCTCGTTCCATAATCCAAATCATGCAAAGTATCGACCATCTATTTTCTCTTATATCTTCAGTCAGTGTTCGCGTGAGCTGAGCTGTCCCCTCATTTGTCTCTGGCGTCT